CAGATATAGAGGTGCCAAATTTTGTATAGGTCCTGGGTGGGGATGGAGGGCAAAGGACATGGGGGCCTAGGAGTCTGGAACGCATTCCACATGCATGGGGTCATTTTTCTACTCACAATATGTGTCCTCCTCTCTAGATTCCCCTGTGGGTCCTGGTGGATGAGGTCTGTCCCTTGGTGACAGCTGTAGGCAGCGCCCTATTCAGACATCTTGCAGCACAGGTTAGCGACCTGTTACATCTGGAGCTTCCTTTAGGAAGATCCCTGTTCCAAGAACCTCAGTTTTCCTACTTTTGAAATCATAGCCCACAAAGTCATGGAGCTATCCCACGGGAAGATGCCAGTAATGTCCCTGGTGAGGTGAGGTCTGGCGGGTTCCGCTGACCCTCAACTCTGCCTCATCCTGCTCTAATCCCAGCTGATGAGATGAGAATTTCGCAATGAGTGTTCTTTCTCTCCCCCACCCTTTCTTCCCGCCCCCCACCAAGGATGAAATCAAGGGTGCTCTACTAATGAGCTATGGCCTCAACCTATTCACATCTGGGGAGCTGCCCAAACCCCTATGATCACTCAAAGATAAATTTTAAAAGGAAAAAGAAATATAACCCAATCATTAATGGAAAGATAAAATGAAAACAGAGTCACAGAAATGAAGCTAGTAAGATGGACTTGAATTGCTGCAGTGCCTGGTGTGATATCCTTGGGGGCTTGGGCTCAGGTGACTTTGAATGTCAAAGGTTCAGCACAGGACTTGGTACAGGACAGGCATACAATGCACACACACACACACTGAGGATGACAATCTGTGTGTGTGATGAGGCACTGCTTGGGGAATCATCGTGGGTGCACTGTGGCTGCCTCCAGTTCCCTTTGGCCCCAGCCAGGCAGTGACAATGTGGGCTTAGTGATTGGAGGAGCCTCATGCGCTAGTGGAAAGGAGGGAGAAGCAGACGGAGGTAGAGACTGGGTTCTTGTGTCTTCCGTGCTGCAGGGGAAGCATTCCACTGTGGCTGTGGGATTTATTATGGTGCCAGCAGAGACACAGAGGACCTTGGCTGCCTTATGATTTTCTCGCCCTGGCAGCCTTCATCTAGTCATTTCCGGTCACACTGTTTTCTGTGCTCTCTGGTCTTGTGCTAATGAGGATCTCTCAGGATTGACTGGTATGGTAATGATCTATGGAGCTTACTGTAGATAGCAATTAAACGTGGGTAATGGTCAGCGTGGGTGGACACATTAAAAGTCCTAGAGGCAGAGATTTATGGCAACAGTGCGGCTGTCTCCTTGGTGTCTTGTGCGTTTTCTATTTCCTGCTTAGTCTACTCTGAGGCTAGAATGATTTCTCGTCTCTTCCAGCATCTCCCCAATTTCCAGGCCACCCCAAATCATATCAGCTTTATTGTCCTTATTACATACCTTTCACTTCCTGAGCTGGGATCCAACTGAGACCTGTGTCTGTATTTCTGTGTGCAGAAAAGCCACGGGCTATCCAAGGAGTCATTTAGATGTAATGCAGGAGAGGATTTTTATAAGTAAGATCTGATGACACCCAACTGTCACAGTGGGAGAGTTCCTGCAGGCTCTGGGAAGCACCATCTCTGAAAGCAGCACCCTTACCTCTGGGGTGAGAGGTTAGCAACCCGATCGTCAGGGCCCCGCAGCTGCTGCGGGCGGGTAGGACTCTGATGCTGTATTTCCCCCTGGTAATGTCCACATCTGTGTTTCCCTCTACCATTGCAGCTGAGGGAAAGGAAAGAGCTGTGTTTACAATCTTGGGTCTTTCCTGAGAACCTACTGACTGAGCATGGAAACGGTGCTAATGATATCATTTGTGGCACAGCTTCCCGAGCATTTTTGAGGTATCTTTTCCTACTTTTCATGGCCAAAGTTGCACACTTTGTTGCCCAAGAACACAGTGAAGGGTTTTGTGTTATAAGACCAAAAGCAGAAGTCTGCAGTGAATAGCAATGCATCAAGGGGCTGCTTTTTTTGAGCAGGAGTGACCGAGGTGTGGCATTTCCAGGATGAAAGCGTCCAACCAGGCATCAGGGATGATGTCTCTGAGAGGTGCGATGGCTGCTTGTTGAGTGTGCTCTGTGACTGTGATTTGTGAGTTGTTTAAACTAGCACCGCATACACTCAGAGGCCACAGAAGACATGATGCCCAAGGGGACGGTGACAAATGGTGGCAGTGCCCAGATTCACCTTGGAAGCCCCTGTCCTTGGGGACAGAGAGCACATCCCTGGGACCTCTCATGCTGAAGAACACGGAGATTTTCTTGGACATTCAGATCACATCAGCACCCTAGAATATGCTGTAGCCTAGGAGGAGCAGCCAGTGGGGAAGTGAAAGGGTCACTGCCATCAGGTCTCACTCAGCCCAAAGGAACAAAGGCAAGGCCCAGCCCTACTGCATTTCAGTGGCCTGCACCTCTTTCTTCTCAGAGAAGAAAGGGTGTGGAAAGTGACACCAAAGTCCCATCTCTATGTGTGTTTCCAAGAAACGAAGGCTTTGCCTAGAGCAGGTCTGTGTGGCGGGATCGGAGAGGCAGAGGGCCTGCCGAAGAGTCCAGGGAGGATGGGCGAGCCCATCACTTGTATTCATGTGGTCGATTTGTGCAAATCTAGTGCCTCCTAAAGTGGAAAGGCTTGGGCTGAGGATGACACAAGAGGAGCCCTAAGAGGGTGTCCAGCTGCCATGTCCCTGGTTTTGGAAGTGTCTGAGGAACAGAGAAGCAGCAGCACCTGCTGGATTGAGGCAGGGTTCCATTGTTAGAGTGTTTGTGCCCTCAAAGAGAACTCATGTCCAGTGGGGTGGTGCACTCCTATAGTCTCCACACTCTGGAAGGCTGAGGCAGGAGGGTCACAAGTTCCAGCTCAGCATGAGCAATTCAGCAACTTTGTGAAAATTTGTTTCAAAATTAAAAAAAATAATAATAATTTTTAAAAGGCTCTGTGTGTGTGTGTGTGTGTGTGTGTGTGCCAGGAAATCTGCATTGTTTGGGAAGCAGAAGTGACAGGCTCTGATAAGAGAAAGAAGCCTGGACCCTGCTCAGGCCTCTACCGAACAGGGTTAGGAAAAACTGAACTCCAGACTCAGCAGGACAGTGCTTAAAGCCTTTGGAAATATTCTTGATTGTTGGTGAAGCCAAAGAGAACCTGGAGCAGAACGTGATCGCCATTCCTGGAAAGCAAAGACAAGAGATTCAGACAGGAGATTTGGCCTTGATATTGTTAGTGATAGCAGACAGGGGTCCAACCTGGTACAGAAGATCTCTGGGCTCCTCTAGAGAATCAAGTGTGGGTGCCCTTCATCAGGTACTGGACAGCCAGGGACAGCACGTAGGTTACCTGCCATTAAAAGGGAAGCAGCTCTCACCTTACTCTAAACACCTGGGGTGACTTGGGCAGGACTCGTAGAGATGAACTAGTTACAGGCACATGTCCTATAGGTGGAGTGGAAGAAACATCTCAGGTCCATATAATTCCTCTCAAGGCACAGTTCGCTAGCTCCAAGGTAGGGCAGCATGGCAGAGCGGACTGGCGGAAGAGAGGTGCTTATGGCATAGTGGGCAGAAGCAAGGAGCATTAGGAGAAGTCAGGGAAAGAGAGGAAGAGAGGAAGAACGGAATCCCTCAGGTTACTAAGAGGCTAAGTCTGACCCTCTGGGCTCCAAGTCTGAGAAGTGATGAACAGTGAGACCCAAATGCTTCTCCTAATTTCATGTCTGGACAGCAGAGGCCTTGGTCACAGCCTCGTCTCCAGTTGCAGTTCTAGCCTCCAGTGTGGCTAGGCTCACTGGCAAACCCTCAGTGCAGGGACCCACAGGGTGACTGTGGCGGGTATATTATAAATGCCATTCCTCTTTGCTTGGATTTCAGACATGAGAAAGACCTGATGACTTGCCTCTTCCAACATTACAGGTGTGAAACTTGCACATGTAAGCTCAGCTCACGCCCACTGGGCTGGGACACAGTCAAGCAGCCATGCCCAGCTGCATGGGGTGGGGAGGGCTATAATTTTGGTGGTCTGTGCCCAGTTACTTCCTGGGTCTGTTATTGCTTACATATAGATGTCCGCCCAAAGCCTCATGCACTCAGAGGCAGGGCCCTTGGAAGGTGATTGGATTATGGGAATTTAGAGCTGACTTGCTGCTGTTAGGTGGCGGAGTTTGCTCAGAAAAGGTAGGTCACAGAGTGTGGCCTGGAATGGTTTGTCTCCTTCCTTGGCTTTTCCTCTTGCTTCCTGTTCACCCCACCATGAGCATCTCTCCTCTGTTGGGTCCCTCTGCCATGGGCCAACCTGCCTTAGAGCCAGCTGGCTGTGGGCTGAAACCTCTAAAAATTGTGAGCCTAAATAAACTTCTCCTTCTTTAATTTGTGGGTGTTTGTGATTGTGTCTCAGCAATAAGAAACTGACTCACATAGGATCTCTACTGCAGTTAAAAAGAAGGGACATGCAGATATAGGGAATCAAGTAGCAATGTAGCCTGCAGGCACCTCCCGAGCTCAGAAGAGGGAGTTAAGTTAAATAATAAAAACTGCAATAAATAAAATAAGAAGCCAGGAATTCCACTGAGAACACTGCATTCCTTGACTGAAATTTTATGTGAAATCTTTGCAAGTTTTTATGGTAGCTCCCCCCAAAAAAAATACAGTACAGTCTTTTTACTGTCTTCTTTAAGTATTTTTTTTTTACTTGTGAAAGCAATAATAATCTTTATATTTTATTTTGGAAAAAATTCAAAAATTGTGGATAGATGAAATAAAGAATTAATTAATCACCACACTTTCAGAAGTTAATGGCAACAATCACATTGGTCTGGAGTCTTCCGGGGTTTTTGGTAGATGGGCACATATACCAAATGCACATCTATGTCTGTGATAGGATCGTACAGCACAGACTGTCTTACAGCTGCTTGCCTTCCAGTAAGTAATTCCACCGCTATCTTTCTTCGTGCCTGTATCCTCAGGGTTATTTTTTTTTCCTCTCTGATGGCAGATAATCAAGGACAGAGAAGAAAGTCGATCTCTGCACATGATTGCCGTGTGAGCATGCGGAAGGACAGGAGGAATTCAGGAGGCTTCAAGAGGAAAATCATGACAACAGACTGGAAGTGTGGGCCCCTGCCTGCCTACTCTGCCTCTGCTGCTCAGAATCGGTCCGATCCTGGGCTTCCTTGCAGTGCTGGTGACAATTTCTGAGACAGAAGTCTGGACCCAAAGGGACAAACCACTGGAGTTGTCACACATCCAAGTGGGCAAGAGGAAAGCTGGAACGTACTCAGCCCCAGGCCGCAAGCCTCCAGCTTCTGCTTGGCCAGTAGAAACGGTGTTACCCAAGGTGCTGCTTTTAGGGAACCTCACTCAAATCCAAATGCGTGCCACAGTCCTACAAATATGGGGCCCTTTGGTAAGAGGCTTTTTGTCTGAAGGTCACACAGCCTGTCCACTTGGACTTCAATTTGAATTGCAAATTACATGGCTCACAGTCAGCTTTTCCTTGCGACATAGATTTTTCATACCTGGGCAACTGCATACACGTGTGTATGTGCACATGTATGTGTGTCAGTGGGAAAGAGGGTGAAGCCCACAGACTCAGCTCCAGGAAGATTTTGTTTGTTCCCAGTCTGTGTTAGCAAAGGACCCTTTATGGCTGGCACGTGTTTCTTAGGGTTTAAACACACACACGTGTGCACATGTGCACATGCACCTCCATGCTCCTCCATTCTGACATGATAGATAGCAGGGGTGACCCAGGGCCCTGCAGGTTACCCCGTGTTGAGGAATCAATCTCAGGCTATTATCTCTCCAGATTCACTGAACTACCAGCTCCTCACTTTTGAGGCAGCTTCACCCAGCCCTGCTCTGCAGGAGGTGAGGCTTTGTTAGCCTCCCAGGGCCGCCTGTGACTCAGCCTTGCAGAGGAATAAGGGAGGAGCCACGCAGCTCTAGTGGCTCCTGAGCCGGCCCACTGCAGCCCACTGCCAGCAGTGTATGGCACTCTCTGTAGAGATTTTTCATGAGCGCCATACATTCGGGGAGAGAGAGGCGGAGACAGTCATCTGACAGTCACGCTAGGAATCCATCAAGCTCACATGGACAATGCACCATTTAAAAATTCTAGATAGCAAATAGCCATTAAAATTCCATTTAGCCATGCTTTAGATTTGGTGTGCCGGAGGCCCTTGCAAGGTCCTCCCAAGGTCCCAGTCTGTGGCTGACACAGGCTTTGTGAATTCACCAGTTTTCCCGGAGCATAGTCCTGTCTCAGCCCGCCTGACCCAGCTTGAAGGAGGCTGCTGAAGAGTGCATCACTGGGGAGAGAGGGCGAGAAGGAGGAAAGAGCTCAGCTGCAGGCTCAGCCGGTGCTCCCGTGGAAATCGCTATCTGGAGACTACAGGAAGATGGTGTCTGCCATTGAAAGGGGAATGGGACTGCGTGTGAATGACAGCTGCAGGCAGGATGTGGTCTAGGTCCCCTGAGACCTTCACCTGTGTGTCTTCGGCCCATGCAGCCCTGTCTGGGAACCTCTGTGTTTGTGGAGATAAATCGCGTTGCTTTTATTTTCAGCGAAGTAGATTGTGCTGCACCCTTTCCTGCAAATTTCAGGAAAAGCCTTTTCTGGCTGGTTTTTCTTTTCTAAGCAGGCAGCCTCTATCTCTGAGGTGCAGTTGGAGCTCTGAGCAGTGGCCTTGCTTTCTGTACTTCAACAATACAGAGGAACATGTGGAAATGTTCTATTTTGCAGCTCTGAAACCATGTGAACCAGATTTCCCCAGGCCTGATCTTCCCACAGATAAAAAGCAAGAGCCCAAGAGGCCGGGGTGCACACAGAAACCCTGCATCGCGTAGTATAATTTAATCATCCTGTGCTGCAGAATTTCTTTACATAAATTATGGCCGTGGTGATAGCATCACTTGGACAAAAGGTGGCCTCAAATCAATTCGCTGCTCCCAGAGTCATGGGGACTTTTTGAAGTGGACACTGATTCCTTGGATCTCAGAAAGCTGATCACACCTAGGTCTCCCAGAGGGATGTCCATCGAGCTGCCCAGCCTGGCCAAGGATTTATTCAGCTGATTTTTTATCCTGACATTTGCTAACTGGGTGGAGTTTATTTTCTAGGAGTAAAGGGTTATTGGCAACTGCCACCCCCTAGTGTCTGGCAGAGAAGGCATTTGCAGGATTACTCTGAGTGGAAGAGATGGTCTTTTTTTGCAAATACCTCCTCCTTCCTCTTTCCTCTCTCTTTCTCCTTTTTCCCCACCCCCTGGGCAAACATGATTTTTAAATTCACCACATTTTTCATGCTTCAGAGTCTGCTGACATCTGGCCGAAAGCAGTTACTTTGTGCCCCAAGCAGTTCCGGGTCCCAGGCTCAGCCCTTCCTTCCAGAAGAGAGTCTTTCTCAGGACCTCAGAGCCTGCTCTGAAAGCCTTTCTATTGAAGGAGGTGGTCAGTCAGCCGTGTGGGTCTCATTGTGGGTGTCTCAGCACGTCCAGGGCTGGCCTTTGAAAGGATGGGTTGGGAAGATTCTCAGGCCAGGAGCAGCTAATTTCCATCCCTGCAGCTTCATCTCACAAAGGACATTTGGAAGAAGGCAAAAGCATCGCCTCTACTCCTGCTTCCAGTGGGGTTGACTGGCTGAAATGGAATATAGTCCCATTTCCCTCAATATGAAGGATGTTTTCATTGCTTAAATCCTCAAGGAAAAATGATCATGATTACCTATATATACTGGGTCATAGCATCAAATGCTATTTAGTAGGACCAACAAGGGTAGGATTATGTGGTAAAAATTAATTGGGTAAAAGCATACCATTGATATTCAATAAAACCCAATGAATGAGTGAAAATACTTCACATTGGCATTGGCATTCAAAAACGTAGTGACTGTTCACAGATACAAACCTACTCTCCTATTTTGTAATCACAACCAGAGAAAGGCCTTATCCACAAACACATCACTGTGAGAAGGCTTAGCTGTTTACTCTCATAGGCAAAATGGTCATGCCATGTGTGCATGTGCATAGATAAAACACATGCCAGGTACAGGCCTTAGAGCTCAAGGATTCTACCTTTCTACATTTTGTCTATGCAGCTGTGGTTCTAAATCAAAATACTCCATGCAATTATCCTAGAATATTACAGTGCAGAGTACTACTTCAGATACTTTAGTAATGGGTTTCCACAGACTTCATATGTGTAAGCAGCAAATGCTGAATGCAAAAGGGCTCGTGAAGCTGAAGACACTTTGGAAAGGTGGGAACTGGGAGCTCTTTGATTTTCTCAAACTCTTTCTCATTTTTGGCCTTGGGACCAGAGAGGTGTGGGTGGTACTAACCCCCACCCACCCACTCACTGGGGACTGTGTGAATGACCTTCTCCACTACTCTGCAACCTTGTTCTTGGAGAGAGATCTCTTAGCTGCAGGATGGGCAGCCAAGCCTTCTTCGTTGGGTGGTTGCATCAACTGCCCTTTAGGAGGGGCAGTATGGGGCGCTCAGTGGGAACTTAGCAATAGGAACTATTTCCTGTCATTGTGGGTAGACCAGTTCCCTAAAAGTTCACCGTAACAATGATTTACAGAGCATTTACCTTGTACCAGGCACTGTAATCTTGAGATGACTTAAAGTATATGGGAAGACGCAAAGATGATGTGCAGATATGGCACCAATTTACACAAAGGACTTGAACAGCTCCAGAGTCTGAAATTTAGAACCAATCCCTTACGGACATAAGGAAGATGATATCAGTGCATCCATGCTCTTAGTATGTACTTAAACAAGTCTATGTTTCTGAATTAAGCATACAAGGTCATCAAAGGCTGAGAATGTGTTATTTGAAACACCTGCAAAGCTTTGCAATTAATTTAAACTAAGGAGATCACACAGTGGGATCTGTCTTGGCTCTGTCATTAATTAGCTAAGAAGCCTGAGACAAATTGTGTCACCGTCCTGGGTCTTAGTTGTGTAAAGAGAGTCCTATCGTAAATATCACATTGGCTGCAGAATAGAGCCACTGCATTGGCCTGGGACAACTGTGATCTTTGCGTCTCGGGGAAAGTAGCATTGGCACCCAACTGCATTTGGTGTTTTGTGTCTGATATTAGTTGGCAGATGGGAGGTTGATTCCATCTGCACACTGGTGAAGTTGCCCTGCAGCAGGCCAAGCCCAGCCGCTGACCTCTTGCTCCCCTGGAAGCATATTCTTGCCAGGATCATGCTGGGACACATTCTGAGTTCACCCTCTCCTCTCTCTGCATGCAGTGGCCTGTTTGCCAAGAGTAAAATGGCTGTGGGGACCCAGCCTGGCCCAGGTTTGCCCCTTCCTGTAGTGGCTTAAGTCAGCCAAACTTCAGTGGCTGATTCCCAGGGGCCAGGCCTCCCTGGGCTGGCAGGAGGGCTGCCTGGTGTTCTGAGCAGGGTTGTTAAAGGCCTTTCTAGATGGCTGCATGTGTGCTAAGAGAGTGCAAGTCAGAGGCAGATGGATATCTGTAATAACAACACTCTGGAAGGTTGAGGCAGAAAGATCTCAAGTTGGAGCTCAGCCTGGGCAACTTAGTGACTTAGTGTGACCCAATCTAAAAATAAAAAAAGGAAAGTATTGGGGATGTAGGTCATTGCAAAGGCTCTGGGCTCAATCCCTAGTGTTAGCAAGCAAGCAAGCATGAGAGAAAGAAAGAAAGAAAGAAAGAAAGAAAGAAAGAAAGAAAGAAAGAAAGAAAGAAAGAAAGATGGATGGAAGGAAGGATGGAAGGAAGGAAGGAAATAAGGAAAAAGAAAGAAAGTAGAAATGCTATCCTGGGCTGTGACCCCAAGGTTAAATGGAACAGTGATCTCCCCACCCCAGAAGCTGCCCCTTCTGGGCTCCCTGAAAGACACCTGCTCCTCCATGCAAACCTGGCCACCCACCCACCCCCATTCTGACACTTCCTTTTGTGTCACCATTCCCTGATTCCATCAGAGACTATGGGTGTGCCTATCCCCATGTCCTTTGATCTGCTCCATCATTGGCCCGAAGCTCACTGGGTCTGCGGAGTGGAAAGGCGTTTTGATTGCATGCTTTTCATTATTCAGACCAAAGCTTTGTAGGTCTCCAGGTATCACTGCTGCCTAAAGAAAGAAATTTGACCCAGTTCACTTTCACAAATCCACACAGAACAGATTCATGGTTCTATGGAAGGAACTCAGAAAAGTGTGGAGACCGACCCAAACCCCTGAGTTTCTGTCTTTCAAGCTGATTATGGGCAGTTGTAGTTATTTGTTAAGCATTTTGAAGATGGATAGCTGATGAGTATTCTCTCTCCTTTTCAGAAAACAAAAAGTGGAGTGGAATCTGGTCTGGTGGCTGGGAAGAGTAAACAAACAGACAAGACAGCGCTTCTGAGAAAGATCTGACTTTTCAAATGGCACCAGAGAGCTTGGGAACTCCAGGCACCGATGCTATACTATCAAACTTCCCGGAGGGGCCTAGGCGTGGCTTGCAAGTTGCTGCTGAGTTCTGTGATAGAGTAAATTTAAGATCAGGGACTCAGTTTCCCAAGTATCTGCACCGCAGCACAGGCATACATATTCACACAAACATGTGCACAGCCTAAGGCGCACACAGCCTGAAGAGGAGGGTCCACAAGGCGTGCTCCGTGGGGAAAGGGCTATATACTGCTGCCCTCAGTCACTTCCGGTCCCTGTCCCTCTAAATCTAAAGGCCGTGGAGAGGCACTGGGCACCCAGAAATGTGGTTTCTGTCTCCTGAATCCCACTTTCCACTCTGGGGGTTTCTCCTATGCTGAACCTTTATTTCTCAAGCTTAGCTATTTATCACACACCTCTGCCTAACTTTATACATTTCCCTCAATATTTTCATGGAGAACACTTTGTTAGGGTTCTCCAGAGAAAGAGAATCAACAGGATATGTAAAGATACACAGAAAGAGGAGAGAGAGAGAAAGAATGAGAGAGACAGATTAACTGAGGAATGAAGCCAGGACCTTCATACTGAGCTACATCCTAAGCCTTTTTCATTTTTTATTTTGAGGCAAGGTCTCACAAAAATCACCAGTGTTGGGCTTGAGTTCAGGACCCTCCTGACTCCATCTTCCAGCATGCTGGGATTACAGGCTGTGTCACCATACTCAACAGGAAGAGATTTATTATGAGGAACAATTCTGGATGCCAGGAAGTGCCATGATCTTCTGTGTACAAATCAAGTCCTGGGAAAAGGTTTGGGGTTGGTTCTGGGAAGCAAGGGAAAATCAACTTTAGATTTCGACAGACTTGGTTTTACAACTTCCCTGAGTGATGTGCCAGGTCTCTGTGTTGGAAAGAACTGCTTATATTTATTTTGAGCTTCAGTTTTTTCCTTTTAGAAATCAAACAAACAAAAAGGGATATCATTCAGATTAAGTCAAATTGATTACTTCACTCAGTCATCAAGCACTAGACCTCCTTTTAGCCTACTATTTACATAAGGGATGACTGCTATCTCCTGTGATCCAGTTTTGAAATGTGTTTAAAAGCTTAGTAATTCACAAAAGACAACTATTACCCACTGGGACATTAGTTCCTTATTTTGTCCATCTTGAAAAATTGATGCTATCCCTATGTTTCTACCAGTGGGAAACTCACAGGGATCCTCATGGAAAACAATTACAGTAATTTCTTCTGATTGTAACTCCTATAGTGTCATCAGCCAGGTGTCCTGAAAGACTCCATCTGTAAAATCGCCTCAAATTCTGGATGCACAATGATGGATTTATTTTCAATGTCTGGCCGCATTCTAGAGAAAAGAAAGGGCAGAGGCAGTAGCTAAACAAGGCAAATTGGCGTTTCCACTCGGAGCGTGGCCACAGGAGCTTCCCCAGGTGCAAAGGGATGCAGCCCTGGAAACAGATGGGATCTTCAATCCACTGGAGTTGGTAGTAAAAAATCTGTCTACTTTCTTGCTTCAAAAATCTAGGCCTTGGGGGCCACATCCTTATGGTAAAGTCTGGATCTACAGTGCCAAGCCTGCATCTACTTGGTGTGGGATTTGAATAAAACCAGGTGAGAACAAATTCAGGTGTGTAACTGCATTGATGATGATAATCAGAGAGGATCAAGATTGAGACTGTTTGGCACAGCTGAGCACAGGACACACAAATCCACTCTTGAAAAGTAGACTGTATCCAAGAATCCGACATCCTCAAATCCAAAATTCATTTGGAAAGAAAATGTGTAAAATGTTTAAAGACCTAGAAAAAGGAAACCCAAATCACCAGATGAGACAAATATTGCTTCAAAAATACCAGGAAAATTTTGGAGAGAGAAAATCAAAACCTCCTAAAAGTATATAATAATTTCATTTAAGATAGTTCGAGTGAGGCAAATAGCATACAAAATGCATGTGAAAACCTAAGTAATGGGTGGAAAGATGGACTTGAATAATGTATCAATACAGAGAAAAAGAGAAGCACTTTCGTAGTTTGTCTGCTAGAGGTAACCTGCCACTGATAGCACTACCAATGGGAGGTAACAGGGAAATGGAGGAGAGATAATATTTGAAGAAACAATGAATGAATTTTTTTTTAACAGTTTATGAAAGGTTAGAGTTTGGAGCCAAGAATCTCAGTGAGTCATAGGAAAAATAGATGCAAGTAAACTGAGGTATAACTCAGCTCAGTGAAGTCTCCTGCTACCAAAGACAGAGACATGATCTTAGCCTGACTCATGGTGGGTCACCTTGAGTTTAAAACCATCCCAAGGGGCATTCCAAATCCCCAAGGCAACAGGATCTGCCTGTGCACATATAGAAAAAGTTGGGGACAGTTGGTAGGGACTGACCATCCACCTACTTCATTTGTCTCTGAGATAAATGGGTTCTACTATGATTAGCCAGGACTGAGAGTCTAAAGGGGTCTTTCCTGACTGTGCTTATGGAGATGAGAATTAGCTCACCCTTCAGGGCCCACAATGTGGAGGTGACAGCCTGTGAGCGTGACTCATAGCATCCATGGGATTCAGGGCAACATTGACCTCCAACTCCTTGACTGCCTTCTGCCTTCCCTGTCCTATAGGAGAACCAAATGCCTGTTTGAAGACAGTCGTGGCAGTGCTTGTCTCTAGCTGAATTTTTGTAGATATCTGTGGAATAATGGGGAAAATTTGTGTCAATAGTAAACAGATGTGTTTTTACTTACCCCTGAAATTGTATTCCTGTCCATCCCATCCTTCTAAGGCCAAGCCAACAGGTTGTTGCAAAGCAGGAGAGAGCAGACACCGTGTAAGAATAAATTCAACAACTAAGCTTTGCGTTGAATGAGGATTTTCCTGGTCTCTTTAGCTAGGCTTAGATTTGAAAGTCAGGCTTTGCAGACAAAAGAGATTCTTAGCTTTTAAATGGTCTTTTCTCAATACCTAGGGCTAACCTTTTAAAATTCTGTTGTGGTTAGAGAGTTTTCCATAGGGAGCTTCCCAAGAGTGGAGAGAGGAAGGGGAATGGGATGGGCTCCTGAGATTGAGGCTACTGTGTTGAGAGCTGAGAAGCTCCTGGAACACCAACGGGGTGCAGAATGGCAGTGGCAGGCAGACAGACGTCAGGTGCACCAGAGGCAATTTGTTCTTTTCTCAGTGCTTTGTTTTGTGATCACTTCCTCAGAAGGACCCACCCTGATTGTCTGATACAACAGGGTAGCAGTTCTATACCTCCTCCTTCTGGGGTTGTTCAACTTTCTCTGTCTTTGTGTCTTGGATTATGATCTGTTTTACCGACTATTGTCAGCTTTTCTGGAACACCAACCTTGATATTATCTTCCTAGAATCTGGGAACACCAGATCCTTGAGTTCACGCCACCAATGGGTATGAAGTGAGCTCCAATCCAAAGTAATTGCTCTGCTAGCTCCTCATGGGTAATGCCTAAGAGAGGATCTGTGCAGTGTGGGGAACTCACATGTGATGTTTCAGCTTGACAGTGTCAACTCAATTTACTTAGACTCTGCCTTGGGATTAGTGTAACACATCTGGGTGGCTCATAGAGGTATGGCCTTGGGTTCCATATTTGGTCCCTGCTATGTCCAGTACAACTCTTGAAACTTCGGAGATGGGACAGTGGAGGATGAAGAAAAACAAACGTTAAGATGCTGAAAGCTGAGGTCAGTGGAGCCACCTCTCCTGCTGGGAGAGAAAAAGACCACCCAATGAATGCAGCGCATTTATTTATATACTCTGGAGGTCTGTGTAAACTGAAACTCCTTTGCCTAACAACTCGCTTGTCTGACTCACTTTGGGCACCTTGTGTCCTCAGAGCTGGAACAGTTTGCTCATGTGACTTGCTTCAGGTGTTCTGTGTTCTCAGGGCTGGCCTTGCTTTAGCCCTGCACATGGACAGATCTCCAGCTTCAGACACTCCCCACACCCTACCCCTTCCTGTCTGGCACTGTTCCTTTATTCTGCTTTGCTCCTCCCACACCTTTGTAACATGATGTTCCTGCCTTGAGGCCAGTAAACCATGGCCTGAAACCCTTGAAATCATGAGCCAAGTAAATCTGTCTTCTTTTAAACTGTGGGTGTCAGGTTTTGTGTCCCAGATGAGTAGTGTATGTCACAGTGAGAAGGAAGTGGCCTCTAGAAAGTCCTTAATGGAAGGTGGTGATAAAATAGAGTGAGAAAGATGAAGCAGAGATCCAGGCCCACTGGTTAGACAGAGATGTGCTATGTTCTCATGAGGCCATGAGGGTTTTGTACTGAGTTCATTGGGCTGGGGTGCTCTGGGATAGAATGAGAGCTACCATGATTAGAAACATCATTTTATGAGCAGAATCTCCAGTGGTTCCTAAACACTGTTTTTCTGCTTTCACAGACCTTTGCATGAGTAGGGAGGAGTAAATAGCACATTAAGTGCAGAATAGGAATTAGAATTCAGTGATGTTATGTCAGTCTAGAATTTTACAGTCCCTGGATTAAACCTGTCTAGGGATGTCCACTCTTTTCTCTATTTAAAAATGTTTGCTATTCTTTGAGAATGCAGTTCACTATTGCCATATAGGGACACTGGAACAGAAAACATAGTTAGAATTCTCCCAGCTCCATTTTCCTGATTTCACTCAGGATGTCATTCATCTTGTGAGTTTCATCTCCTAGAACACTGTCCCATATGCAGTAGGAAGATAACACCCTTCTCAGGTCTCTGAAGACACTGTGGATTTCTCTGATTCTTTCCAGCACACTCTAGGTGTGTGTAATCTCAGGATAACAGAATGCTACACTGTCTTGTTGCCTAATTAAGCTCCCGTGTTCCAAATTGCAGGTGTCAAAAGTTCAAGTGTTAAATGGTGGGGCAGTGCATCCAAGACAATAGTGTGCAAAGTGGCTACTCAGGAACGGGCTGGGCTTTTACTTCTTGCTGCTTTAAGCTTCCTCTGTCTTGCCAGATGCTGCCTCATTGAAGATATGAATAGATTCAACATGGAACCGAATACATTGTCCAGAACTGACATTCAGAGCCAAGTCACATGTGATGAAAGACTGTACACTCTTTTAGCATGGGGGTTCCGTAGCAGAGTGGAAAATGCTACAATAGATTTTCTTGTTAATTCACATAGCAAATATCGTGCAGCTTCTGTGTCTCAGGCACTGGAAGAAATTCTATGGGTGTTAATGCCCTTAAGACAAGAAGCTTAGCCTTGAAGAGTAAAGTCTAGTGGGGATAAGTACACTAAGATAGGACAGGTCAGTAAGGTTTGAAAGAGAAGCTAATTTAGGAGCCTGGACTTGAGAGACAGAGGGGGAGGGGGGAAGGAGGAGGAGGAGGAAGAAGAGGAAGAGGCAGAAGAGGGAGAGAAAGGGAAGGAAAGGGAAGAGAAAGGGAGGAGAGGGGAGGGGAAGGGAGGGGAGGGAAGGGAGGAGGGGAAAGAGTGCTAAGGACACAGCCAAGTAAAAACTAGAACTCACATACGAATGCCTGGAGCTCAAGAGAGAGAAACACATGGAGTGGAAGGAGGTTTTTAAGTTAAAAATTTCCAGGATGATTGAAAACTAGGTAACTATACAGTGAGAAAAAAAGGAACGAAATTATAATTACAAAATCCTGGGAGGAAATAATGTATAAAGAAAACAGGATAAAGGAGAGCAGGCAGGTAGGCTGGGAGCAGGTGATCAAAGAGTTCTGAGAGCCCAGAGGCACATATGTCACAGAGCTGGCACAGGCATGGCCATCACAAGGAATGGATTCAGCAAGGTCTGAGGCCACAAACAGTCCCCATCAAGCTGGGCGGATGGAACCCTGTCTCCTGGATTCAGCAGTTCCCTGGACCAACTGAGTAATTTCAGAGGGTTAAAGAGCAAATTAAAAATTAAGCAAAATAATAGGAATAAAATGGGAGTAAGGGAGGGGTCTCAGCTCAGGTGAATGGTGGGAAAATGGAGGCTGAAGAGATTTAACTGCCAGTGATGCATTGGGTTTAAAGACCAGGTTGCTGACGTGAGTAGGGGGAATTAGACAGCAGGCTCCTACTCCAAGCCAGGAGCCGAGGTTTCAGAATATGGCTGATGTTCCTGGTTACGAGGACTGACTGAAGAGTTTGGGGCTAGAGCAGGGGTGTGCATGAGAATGTTTTATAATTATTCTGGTAAAACATGAGTGGGACTGGAGGGAAATAGCAGAAGGCAAAGCTAGAACTTGAGATTGGAGGCAGTAGAAACACAGATGTAAGTGCTGATCAATGAACAATTGTGCTGATTAATGAACAGGGGTAAAAAGAATTGAGGTTCACCCATGTTGCCATACATGGCAAGAAGTTTTTCATTTTAAAGAGTAGCACTCTAGTGTGTGACACTTTCATTATTCATCCATCTCTTGAGAGTCGCGTAGGGTGATTCCACATAAGTTAAGGAGAGAGTCTCCATCAGCAGGAGAACAGACATCTCTCTGAGATCCTGACTTCATTTCCTTTCCATATGGCCTCAGAGAAGAGGTTACTGGGCCATGTGATATGTCTACCAAGTTGCATTCCCATCAACAACAGGGAGATATCAGTCCAAGGGTGCAGGTTCCAATTATTGAGGAAGATCAAGTTCTGGAAATCTGACATACCACATGGTGATAATGATTAATAGTATTGCATTGTAGACTCGAAATACAATGAAAAATTGAAGAGGGCTTTAGTGGTACTCCCAAAGAAAAAAAGATGGGAAGGAGGGAGGAGACAGAGAAAAGAAAATAAGGAAGGAAGAAAGGGAGGAAAGAAGAAAGGAAAGGCAAGAAGACAAAGGAAGGAAGGAAGAGAAGCAAAGAAAGACGGAAAGAAATGGTTGCTAAGTGAAATGGTGGATATGCTAATTAGATCAATTATGAGATATTTCAAAATGTATGCACAAATCAAAACATCACATTGTAAATATATAAAGATCCTTACTTGTTAGTGATGCCACAGTAAAGTTAAGAAAATAAAATTGTGAGGCATTGTCAGTGAATGCAGGGAGGAGAAAAAGCCAATCCCAAGTTTTTCAGTCTTCCTGTGTTTGAGGAACAGAGATTAATTGACAGAAACAGAAAAGTACTGTTACTCACCATGTAACAATACCATTTCTTTGCTTATTTATTTATTGATTACTTTTGATTTTCAAGAGAGAATCTCATTGTGTATTCCAGGCTGGGTTCGAACTTATGGTGGCCCTCTTGTCTCAGCCTCACAGAGTGCTGGGCTTACAGGTATGCAATATCACGTCTGGCTGACTATTCCTTTTTTTAAGAAAATAGTGATGTTGATTTTTCAAAGCAGAAACAGTGCTAGTCTGAACCAGAAGAAGAGTCCTCCACTCTTGATATGGGATGAACTTCCACTTATATTCATGCTGTTCCCTTACCAACCCAGCCACAGTGTGCACCCTATGGGGTCTCCCCTCACTTGTTGGAGTGGTTTCATAGAAAACTCATGGTGACATCTCAGATTACTGAGATTTCATTACTTGGACCAAAGAGACAAGGGTGCATTCATTAGTGTGCTATGAAATATTACTCAATAAAGAAGGTGAAATTATACTTGCCAAAATAAATGATGGTTGTATATACCAGGCCACAATGTCCCTGATTCTTTTAACTATGTTTTTCTTAACTTGCTAATTTGTGAAATTCACCCATTCACAATGGGTTTGCCGGGCATTCATGACAATGTGCTGGGCTCTGATGAAATGCAGCGATGGATGCCCACTTTCCTTGCACAGCAGCTGACATTCTGTACCAGGGCTCCACAAGCCTAGTTGACTGGCGTTTTTTATTCTCTTCTAGCTTGCTGCAAGCTGTATATTAATTATCACCTTCTGAAATTGGTGATTAGTAGATAAAGTCAGTCCGGGCACACTGGAGGGTACCATTCAGTTCTGACCCTGCAGTGTGTCCTAGCTCTTTGGTTTCCACAGAGCAGTTCCAAAATGTTTGTAAAGAAACAGAATAGACATATCATGTACATAGACTCATCTCCCTTCTGTAACTGCGGCCGTAAATTTGGAACAGCTGACTAGCTACTCCCAAGACACCAAAGCAGGGAATGAAAGTTCTTGCTACTTAAGTCATGCCTGAGTCTCAAACAGCTGTTTTTCCTATCACATCACAAGATCACAAAGGGAATGCCTTTAATGGCCAAAATCTTCTGTTTTTTCCCCTAGAATTGCAAAGGCTGCTAAATTTTACAAAAATTGAATGATTTTTAGCTTATGAATCTTTTTGGAATTGATGAGTTTCTTGAATGTAACAGACTGTTGGGTTCTATTTATTGACCCTACCTTCCAGTCTGTATCTTAATTGGAGCACTGAGGCCATTAAGGAAGATGGATGTGAACTTTATGTGCTGCAAATATGTAGTAAGGATATTAAACTAAATTAAAAATGGAAGGAAGTTAGGAGATGATAACCTGTAATAAGAAGTCATGTTCTTGTCTTAAGAGAATGTACCAACCAGCTGTGCAATGCTAGTGAAAGGCCTCGTGTTGACTGATGTGTATGTTTAGGGCCGATTACAGGTAGAGCAATAAATCTGGGTTTGAATACTGTAGTTTAGAGAGTGCAGTCAAAGATAAATATATTTGGAGGAAAGTGATATGGATGCATATTACACTAGTGAGTTATTAGTGGATATGGTTAAACTTGGAGCAGTCAATGGCATCATCCAATGGCTGCACAGAAAGGTAGACAATGGCTAACTCATCATGGATATTCAATATTTGTTGGGAGAATCAATGAAGCAATATATGAAGCATTTAAATTCACTGCCTGTAGGATATCTCTTAGCCTTGAGAATCTGAGATTCTATGATTCCTTGCTTCTACATCTAGCCATATACAAAAATGGTATTAGTTTTTCTAAAATTTGTATGCAATATGAAATGCTCCATTGCCATCAGTGCCTCAGACATACAATCTGATATTCTGAAGGACAAAATCCTCTTTGAGTGCTCTATACTCATACACGTACTGGCTGTCTGGCAGCATGCATGCCATCTGCTAGGATGGCATTGTGCCTAATTGCAAGGTGGCCTGACAGTTTTAAGGCACTCTGCATGCCAATCACACTTGCGCTTAGCTAGCTAACCTGCAGAACCCAGAACATAACTGAGAACAGTTATCCTGTTGGTAAAATATAACTTTGAATGAGAAGATCATGCCTCATTAAAAATGGCCATAATTTTGACAGTGGTAGGCATCCTTCAAATAGCTTTTATTGAATTTACCTTCCCCTAAATGATCACTGCTACAGCAATGTCATGCCAAGGAGCTGAGATAATAGGAAGAGGGCACATTTTTGTTCAGATAGAGCCACAGTGCCTTACAAATCTCTCAAAAGTCTTAAATATTCCTGTTAAAAATAAAAGCACCAAGGTGCCAGAATTTCACGGTATTGTCTTTCCATAACAAGCAAACATCTGTTCAGCTTAACTTTAGGAAAAGACACAGTAGGAGTTTGGTGTGAGTGGATTTGCCTGCTTTCTGGAATAGTCATGGAGGAGACCCAACACCCACATTAAAATATGTAGAAAATACAGGAAATTGCAGAGCTTCCTGGACTTTGAAAATCAGAAAACGCGTGTTTAGGCTTAGAGCTGCTAGTTACAAATGAGAAAGTAGGCTCAAATACAGTAAAATGGTTATTATTCAAGATCAAAGAAGCTATTAATACAGATCTAAGATTAAAACATGGAGCCTTGATTCTGCTAATACACTTATCTGTCCTACTATACTGCTGCAATGATTTTGATAGTTTTTCTAGTTAAATAAATAACATTCAGCTTTTAAAAAGTCTAAATTGTCCAAGATATATATATTTCCTGTTTATTTAGTGACTTTCTTTTTTTATTTTGACATTTAGTGGCTACTCACATAAGCATAGTTTGTCAGCAGCATAATTATATAAAATATTTTGAAGATTTGGTGCTCTTGATCTTATAACCAAAGCTTTCAAAATATTTAATACTGTTTGTAAGTTGCTTTTATTAACTGATGTGTATTTTGTGCTCAATTTTCACTGTATCACTGCAGACAGATCATTTTGCGTACATGCATCTTCCAAACACAGAACTGAACTCGTGGTAGGAACTCAGTGGTACTATGGGCTAAACATAGTTTAACAAAACGAGTAAGTGTTGCTGTCAGAAATGAGGGTCAAACTGATTGCCTTTGGAATCTACCTGGGGGATTGGTGGAACATGCTTCTGGGTGTGTGAGTGGCATATGGAGGTATAGCAGAGGTCTATATCTGGCTGCTGGCTGTTCCTCTTCGGCATTGTTCCCTGCTCTGTTTTCTGGCCACCACGAGCTGAGAAGCTTTGCTCCTCCCTGCCCTTCTACCATGATGGTCCTGCCTTGGAGCAGCTAACCATGGGCTGAATACCCTGCAATGGTAAGCTAAATTAGACTTCTCCTCCTTTACATTGTGGGTGACAGGTATTTTGTCCAGCAACAGGAATGGTGGGGAAGACAGAAGTGATGTTAAAGACAAAAAAAACACTGTCAGTGGATGTACATATGAATAATGTTGGCTTTAAAAATAAATCCCAAATTTTCGAGTGCAGCATTCCTCATCTACTATTTCTGTTCTAACATCTTCCATTCACATGTAGTTCTGTACATGCATGGCTATCTGTAGGTGGCTGAACTGGGCTTGACAGGCAGGTTAAGAAATAGTTTCTTTTTCTCCAACTGCTATCACTGAATTCAGTTATTGATCATTCTCCCCCCATCACTGAGTGAGCAGTTTTTATAGCTTTTGAGTTACCCTCAGGCATTAGAACAAATGCATTTTCAAGAATTCCAATCTGGTCTAAAGCAGTACTTTTCTCTCAAATCTGTGTTGAAATGATCATTATCTCCTGGTGCAGGGCAGACTCAGCTCTGCATTCCCCTGGAGGAAGCCAGAGCACAGCATGTTCTTATTTTTGCCTTGTGCTGCCTCTTCTGGGTGTCAGCTCTGGTCCCTCCCGCAGAGGGAGGGGAGGGTAAGATCCTATGTGATCTGGGACCACTGTGTACAGATCCCAAAGATCAGCTTGTTCCTGTGGGGGTGCATACTCTGGGTTTGTAGTAGACATAACTGATGCTGTCTTCCTCCTGTCTCCTCTGGCTTTTGATAATGTGTTGGTTCCTGCTATGAGTTACTCACTACTTTTTGTTCAGTTGGTTTCCTGGGAACCTTCTCTTGCCAATAGGCACATACTTGCTTCTGAATCTGGACATAGAGGCACTCTCAATGGAAATGTAGTCACCTCTGAGGGGAAATGAAGTATATGTAACTTCCAAGAGGAATGTGGACACCTCTGTGACACAGTGGCTATTTTCACGGGTGTGAGGACACCTACCAATGAAACTCTATCCTCTTTTCATGGTCATGCAGGTCATGAACCCCATGGAAAATCAGGGTGCCTTCCACAAGCCCTCAAGCTCCACACTGGAGAAAGCAGATGTCCTCATGAATTGGCTTCTGTGATTACCAGCAGCTCATTTACACACTGGTGAAGGATGTATAGTGTTCAGCCTCTCCTACCAACAGATATTTTCCCCTATGGTTCTGAGAATACTTCTTTTACTGTAGGGACACAGTGGTGATTACTGGGGCCCATTGGTGCCTGCCCTTGCCTTCTTTTTTCTAGCTCTGACCAATTTTTTGTCTTATAACCAAAGTTCAAAGACTGGTGATACACACAGGCTCTCAGAATGTGGACTACTCCTTAGCCATTCCTGTGATGGATGAATGTAACAACTTTAGAAATTACGTTTTTGTCTTCTGAGTTCTCTGGAACAAGAAATTATTACTCTGTAAATATTCTCTCTGAGGTGTTGTGTATCAAAAGAAAATGTACATCCTATGCATTATATAGCATTAGAAAATTGTGTTAGGAAAACACTCTTTGTACACATTTAACACAAATCATCAAATGCATTTTTGTTAATAAATAGCAGTTCTTCTAGAATAAGATATGTTATAAAAACTTTTATATCTCAATGTTTTGTCAAATCCTCATACATGTGTAGGTGGGACTTTTGGGAGCTGGCTGGATCTAGAGCATGTGATATGAGGACTAGGGTGTGCGGCATTACATTAGTCCACAGGTTGGAATTAGCATAGTTCTGAGTGTGGACAATGGAAATCCCATTGTGGATGGCACCAATCAATAGGCTGATAGCCTGGATGAAATATAAAGGAGAGAAGGGAGGCAGGCTTGCTGCTGCTGCTGCTTGCTGCTGCCCACTGCCTCCTACCTGCTCTGCCATGAACTATTTCTGCTCTGCAGTGTCCTGTGTCATGTTGCCCCTTCTTGGAATCAGGCAACTATGGACTGAAATCTCTACAAACTATGAGGTGAAATAAACCTTTCCTTTTTTAACACTGACTATTGGGTGTTTTGCCTCTGCAAATGAGAAAAGTAACTAAGACAGGATGTAAAACAATAAACATTAGTTTTTCTTGAAAAAATGCAGCATTGTCCTATTATACTTTGTTGGAAAACTGTAAGTTCGTTTATGAAAGGAAATATGGACCTACCATGCTGGAGAGCATGAGTGGGTGATCAATAACAATTGAAGTTCT